CGAAAATCATCGGCTACGCGTACAGGCAATGCAACGGGTGTCGCAATTTTCCTGTGTGAGAAAAAGAAATCGCTGCGGTAGTATCTCGATATAAGAGAGAGAGAGAGAGAGAGAGAGAGAGAGAGAGAGAGAGAGAGAGAAAGAGAGAGAGAAAGAGAGAGAGAGAGAGTTTTCGGGGAAACCGAGGAAAGTTAAATCGTCGTTTCGCATTCCGCGATTTTGAGAAGTTCCGCAGGAGCCGCTTCTTCATCTTTCTCTCCTGAAGTTTCCTCCTTCGTGACACACGCACGCTTTGTGCGGCGGCTATCGGCCCGCCGAGTCACGTCGGGAACGCGGCGCGGAAGTGCGCGTAGACGTCGTTATCAAAGCGGTAGTACAATCCAGTAAGGTTGCAGTAATTAGAGCGCATACGCAAACAATACCGATGTGACTCATCGAATGTATCTGAGAACGTTGCTCTTCCTTTCGGGGGGACGCGCGCCGTTTATCGTGGCTCCGTGCATCGCAGTTCTCTAATGTGTACGTCGACGACGACGTAAACGTAACGCGTAAGCTGGGAATCCGCGACGAGAGAAGTTTATCGTGGCGACAACTCAGCGCAGGAAGATAGCACGGTCGATCGCTCGTTTATCATTCGAAATGCCCACTCGAGGATTTTTATCAGCTCCATGGCTGCCCGAACAAATTACGGAGCCGATAAGTGAATGATTGCGAAATCGTTCGCGCGAGAATAATCGATCATTATGCGATTTATCCTGGCGCTATCTCTCAGCCGTCGACGCGCTGTCGCTAAGGTCCTCGGAAGATTTTCACGACTTTTAGGTAAAGTGTGACGGCTAAGACGTCGTTGTTGCTTCTCACGCAAGTGCATTCGCCGGCGGATCCGGTTCCAAATTCGCGGCAGGTTGAAATCTTTGTGAAAATTTCCCCGCGGGATCGTACCGCAATCGTATGCAACTCTGTGTTTTTACTTCACGGGAGTCAAATCTTTCTCTTGGAAATCAAGTCGATCGTCGATCGTCGGTGATATAAAAGGATTTGAGAATTTTTCGGACAATTTCGCGCGTCCGTTCGCCGGGACGCGCAACGCCGAACAACACGAATACCCCGGCGCGTTTGTTCGCGCCGGCGTGCCATCGCGCGACTTCGCTGGGAAACTTTTCCGCGGAGATGAGAAGCAGATGGTGTTTTCATGCGTCCGTGCCTCCGACTCTAATTGTCGCTGGTTATTATCTAATTAATTCATAAGCGTCATCAGAGCCGAGCACGAGCATCGCGCTGCGCGCCGCACAGTGCTTCGCGTGACCGTAGCTTGCTGTGCGGCGCGCTCGCGCTAACTTTCGACGTTATTTTCGTGGTAGCTTCACATCGCACCGCGCGCTAATCGTACGTTATCGTACGACAGAGCTGAGGCTAATGAGCGTATTATCGACGTGACTTGTTATTGACGCGAGGAGTCGTCCGACGGAAAAGATTTCTCTTGTGCCACGATACCGGCGATGGCCGATGATTCGGAGCAGCATCCCGAGTGCATCGTCGTAAGTTCCATCATTGGTTTCCGGGTCGAAATTGAGAAGGAAAAAAGATGCGGGAAGGAGAGAGAGAAAAAGAGAGAGAGAGAGAGAGAGAGAGAGAGAGAGAGAGAGAGAGAGAGAGAGAGAGAGAGAGAGACGTAGGGGAGACGCATTGATTCGAATACTTGAAGTCGTCCGTCAGACGTCTGTCAGAACGAATCTTTCGCTTCATTGAATTATAATCGTTGATTCATGACGACTGATGACGTTCTCTCTCAAGCGTCGTAATCGCGAAACTTCGTTTTCCGACGCTTCACCGCGATGCACGATGACTTCCAATGAATCACGCATTTGTCGAAACGGAGATCGCGCGCGTCTCGAACTTTTGTTCCCTCGAAATTAGGTCCGCGGACTGACTCATTCGCGGCCGCATCGCTCGGCTTCTCCGCGTCTCGCTCGCTCGCTCGCTCTCTCTCTCTCTCTCTCTCTTTCTCTCTCTCTCTCTCTCTCTCTCTCTCTCCCTCCCGCATCTTTATCTCATTCTCATGTCCCAAACAAAACTATTCCCGAGATTATTAGAGAGCGTTTAATCTCATTTTACGAGCACGAGGCGAAGAGCCGAGGGGGGTCCCCCAGCGAAGAGGAGGCGAGCGCACTCGAGTGACGCGCGCCGCGCTGGAAAACGCAGCGCGTGCGCCCGTCCTTTGACACGGCGCGGCACGCACCGCGGCGTGCCACGCAATTTCATTCGCAAAGTGGGGGGGGGGGGACGCGTACGTACGCAGCGATGCTGCGTGAGTGCTCGTAGGTGAGCCTGATGCAGTGCGAGCAGTGCCGCGTCGATCGAGAGGACCGTATGCTCCGGTCTCGCATCATGATTTTTCATCTTCGAGCAAATCATGCCGTCGATCATCACTGATCGGCCGGTTGTTCCAACTTCTTGGTAGGTTAACTGATAGTTAAATCATATGTTTTTTTCTCCTTCAACTTAGACAAAGACAGACATATGATTTAACTGTCGGTTAACTTACCAAGGGCCGGTTGTCCCAACTTCTTGGTTAAATCTGATAGTTAAATCATACGTTTGTCTTTGTTTGTCCTTCAACTTAGACAAAGAGAGATATACGTACGATTTAACTATTAGTTAACTTACCAAGAAGTTGGAACAATCGGCCTCAAGGAATTGGAATAACCTGGAGAAAAGCCCGAAACGAGCCCGACGCTCTCGCGACGATGACTCGCGCGTCAGTCCCAACCAGCTGATCCTCTCCCACGCGAATACGCGATCCGATATCTCTCGTAAATTCGAGACAATCATGTTCTCAATTTTAACGCCGCGAACGATTCCGACACCTGCGGGTCCGTTCTAATCAGCTGTTCTCTCCCGCTCGCGTCGAGGACGGTCTCTCCTCGCGTTCTTCACGCTCGAAGGCGGCAAATACGCGCACTCGCGCGCCGATGCGCGCATCATGAAGAACGCTCTCTCTCTCTCTCCGCGACTCGCGGCCGAGTCGCCGCGGCTTCAAGTGCTTCAAGCGCGCGCATTTCCGCCGATCGTTTCCTCTGCAGCATCACGCTCCGAAAGGAGAGCACCCGGCGACTCGTTTCGCGAGAGATCGACCCGAGATTGATCCCGGCCGCTCGCTCAGTCCGCTGCGCGTCATCGCGACGATCGCTTTTCCCGCGCTCGACGCGCGTGACCATGCCGAAGAGAGAGAGAGAGAGAGAGAGAGAGAGAGAGAGAGAGAGAGAGAGAGAGAGAGAGAGAGAGAGAGAGAGAGAGAGAGAGAGACAGAGATAGACGGACGGAGAAAGAGCGCGGCTTGCTTCGACTTGGGGAACGAGACGCAGAGGGTGGCGAAGAACGCAGCAGGCTCGAGACGCGCTTTGTTCGCGGAAGTTCGACGAGCTTCGGGAGTCGCCGTGTTCTCGCTTTATAAATAGAACCTGCCGCGCGCTGCGTCGCGGATATCCTCGATATAGCGCTTCCACGGCCACGCCGACACTGCGTCGTTCTTGACAATGCAGAAACTGTCATCGTGAGGCCGTCCCGAGGCTGATCGGATTAGTCGCAGCAGAGGAGAGTACCGAGAGAGAGGGAGAGACAGGGAGAGACAGGGGGGAGAGAGAGAGAGAGAGAGAGAGAGAGAGAGAGAGAGAGAGAGAGAGAGAGAGAGAGAGAGAGAGAGAGAGAGAGAGAGAGAGAGAGAGAGAGAGAGAGAGAGAAAGAGGCACGAGTCGACCGACACAATCGTCGTCTGTGAGCGAGCGGAGAACGCGTGGGTGCGCGCCTCGCGAGTGCTTCCGCGGCCGAGGAACTCTAGGACGATATGCGGGGGTGATCGCACGCGGGCGCGCGCGCGCGCGCGGAGATCCGAGGAGCAGGCCGTACGCGGCCTCGTCCACTCGATCACGAAAACGAAACTGCGCGGGGAGGCTGAACATCGCTGGACAACGCACGAGCGCATGTGTGATGTCTCGTTGACGTCATGACCGGACGCATGAGCGTCGTCGTTCGCCTTGGCGAATATCCGCGGCAACGGAGACTCCGAGTTCTCTGCTGCGTCTCGTAGCGGCAGTCGCTCGCCGTTTCTTCGACTTGAGTGTCGCGGCAGCACGCGGGGAACGTGCTGCGAGAGTTTTCGCACGTACGGTGCGCATCGGACGGTACTCCGTCGCGTTCTTCGGCGGAGAGTGCGAATTCAAGGGGAGACTGACTACTCCGTCCTCGTCCACATCGCAGCTGCATCGCGAGGCGAGCACGTGCGTTCGCGCTCGCGCCTCCGCGTTATCGAATCGATCGCCAGTTATCGCCGTATGTGCGAGCGGGAGGAGACTAGCAGCAGCAGCAGGTCGCCCGAGCGCGCGCTTCTCGTCGAGGAAAGTCCCGAGCGATCGTGCCGATTGATGCCGCTGACGCTGACATCGAGTTCGCGAACTCGACACCGCGTGGAACGCGGGATCAATTCTGCGCGACAACAGGGAGCTGCGGCTCGCGCTCTGCGACCACGCGAACATCGCGGTCGTCCGTGACAAAAGTCGAAAACAACGGGACGGCCGGCCGCTGGAGACAAAGCGAGAGTGCGATTGCGCGTGCATGCGTCCGCCTTTGTCGTTGCCGCGGGCACGTGAGTCACCACGCACGTGCGCAAGCTTCGCGCTTTTCCGCTAATGACGGCTGAAGTTAACTCTTGGTCGACAACTTAATTGCGATTACTCGAGACCAACAGTACGACTTTAGTCGCCGCCGTGGTCTACGTGCAACGTGAGAGGATTTCGCCTCATGGGCCGACGCGAGAGCTTTCCTTCACGCGAGGATCCGCGTGAGAGGAAAATTTTATATTCTCGAATTAGAGAAATTCAATTCAAGGAATAATCCCCGAAGCGCGGACGTCGGAGAGAGAGAGAGAGAGAGGGAGAGAGAGGGAGACAGAGAGAGAGAGAGAGAGAGAGAGAGAGAGAGAGAGAGAGAGAGAGAGAGAGAGAGAGAGAGAGAGAGAGACAGAGAGAGAGAGAGAGAGAGCACGTAGTTTGCTTTCCGTCGGCAGGAGGGAACAGAGTTGAATCGAGAAGCAGTTCCTACAGGCAAAATCGCGGCCGGCCGAGCGAGGGAAGGCGAGGGAGCACGTCGTGAAAATTAGCCGCGTACCGCAGCAACGAGACCGCGAGATCGTTCTCGCAGGGGTCCGTCGCAGGGCGCTCTCCTTGATCCTTGATCGAGGGATCGTCCTCCCACTCTCGCAGTTCGGAGTTGCCGGGTAGCGGCGCGACGCGCGCTGCGCTCCACGACAGTGCGCTAAGCGAGTTCCGACGACGCGAGCGCGCCAGTGCGGTGGTCGAGCGTGCAGCGGGTCGACATGGCAGCGGACTACGACGAGAGTGATCGTCGTCGTGCGGTGTGATCGCGGCGGCCCGGAAGAGAGGAGAGACTGCACAGGGACAGAGAGTGACAGGCAGTGAGCAAGGGCGCGGGGCCGCGCGCGCTCGGAAGGACAGAACACCGTGGTCCGCGCGAGAGCGGGATCAAGGCGTCGCTCTCTCGTGCGAGAGGCGAGCACGCCGAAGTCGCTCGCGTCGCGTCGCGTCGCGTCGAGCGCGCCGCGTCGCGCTCGAAAATAGAACGTGGTTGCGATTACGAACGAAGGATCGAGCGAGCGGGCGGGCGACGCGCGAACGAGCGAGCGAGCGAGCGAGCGAGCGAACGACGCATGCACGCACGCACGCAGGCACGCACATACGTACGCACATACAACGAGTGCAAAGAGAGGAGGAGGAGGAGAAGAAGAGGAGAAGGAGGTGGCGGATAAGAGACCTCGGCAGGGAGAAGAGCGCCGTAGAGAGAAAGAGAGAGAAAGAGAAAAAGAGAGAAGAGTGTCCGACGGTTGAAGGCGGTCGTAGAATGTCGCGCGTGTCGCTCAACAAGTCGCAGTACAGCCAGTACGGCTCGCGTCGCGTCCGCAAGATCAGCTCGGTACGGGTTTGTATGGAGAGTGCGAGAGAGCGTGCAACGAGCGTGTCGATGACTGGAACAGTGTGCTGCTTCTCCGCGATTCTCTTCCCGGTTACATCCGCGAATCTTCCTTCCTTCCCTCTTTCCTTCTTTCTTCTTTGCTTGCTTTCGTCCCCCGCCGTCCTCCCTACTCCGCAACTGGCGATTGGAACGCGCCGATAATCTCGCATCTCCGGCGTAACAGCGGCGAGCGATTATCTGAGTGAGACAGGGAATTTGGTTTATAGATTAGAGGCATCTCTTAATGCGTAAAATTGTCCCGTAGGGCTAACGGGTCGGGTTGCGCGATGGGGCTCACGGTAGGGAAATTATCGATTTTTCGCACGATCGCGCGCGCGCGCGCGCGCCTCGTACCGGTAATTCGCGTTCATAATGGAGCGGGTTCGTCCTCGCCGGGGAAAAAATCTGGGACTGGTCTGTGCGCGGCTTTTGTACGCTCGCTGGCGTAGAGTGGCGCAACGGTGCATGTGCGTAGCTTCGCGAAGGCGACAACACGTGACTCAGCCTTGACAGTCGAGGCGACTCGATTCACGCTCGCGCGTGCCGGAGATTCGCCGCCGCTGCCTGCGCTTTCGCACGAACGCGCGCGCTCGCGCTCGCGACAATGGCGCGTGGACGCGTGTCTGTATGCGTGTGTATGTATATGTGTGTGTGTGTGTGTGTGTATATTAATAACAATTCCGCACATTGAAAACAACGCGAATCGCACGTCGTCCTCCGCTAGCTGGGCTGGTTGGCTAGCTGGCAAGCTGGCCGCCGTGAGCTTCGCGCCTGCTGTCGCGGGGTGGCGCGATCACGGAATGACAACGGCGATCAGCTGATCAGCTGTGACCTTCCGCTCGCAGCTCGGAGTCGTGAGCGCGACGGCCGCCGCGGGCGCGCTGCATTTAAATTCGTCTTCGCGGCCGAGGTCGTTGATCCAAATTCTCAAGTAATGACATCCCCGTTCATCCCGCGCTTCGTCGTACGCAGAGGGTAGAAACGAGATTGCGACTTGGTCCGCCGAGCGATCCTGCGGAGAGTCGTTTATCGGGAAGATTAGCAAACAAAAAGAAAACGAAAACGTCGTTTCGTACGATTTTTTCGGGCATCCTTCTCTCGCCCACATCTCACATTTCCCCCGCAGAGATCCTACGCGTTTTTCTCCTTTGTCGAGGACAATTAGTTTACTTATGACTGGAGGCTTCCGCTCGTTAATACAGCCGCGTTGGACGACGGAAGCGAGGGCCGCACGTGATTTATTCATGCGGTGTAGGTGTTTATTTTTATCTATTCTTTCTTTTTAAACTCCCGACGACAGTGAAAACTGTGAAGAATAAGTAGTTTCTCGAGTCTCGCGGTATTCTATATTTTTGGGAGTTTCGCTCGGATCGTCGTCGATAAATTAGTATCGCAAAATGCAAAATGGCACGAGTATCATCCCTTACTTCGCCGACATTATCCACCGTTAGTCGAAAAATCATCGGGAGTCACTTAACTCTTCCGATTATTAAAATACCGGCTTTCCGAGATATCGCGTTTACCTTTATCGGTAAAGCCGCTAACTTGACTCTTCCCGCGGGATCAATTAATTGCGTGGGTACAGTTCGATATTTGCCCTTCTCAATTGCCACGTTATTAATATCTCGATATTAATAAGCTGTTTTTCCTCGACGAGATCCTACACGATTGCGCGCTCTCGATCGTATCGGCTCGAACGGGAGGTAATTTTAGCGTATTATTCGGCGTGTTGGACGCTAAATTATTCTTCTTGCGAATTACCTCGTTCTATTGTGATATTTCTCGGCGGAGAACGACTACGGAATAACGACTACGCGATCGAAGGATCGCACGGGAAATGACGCGCGGAGAAACGAACAAGTTGGCAAGAATCACCGACTCATTCTCATATCGTTTGTGTCCCGTGTAACGAGTCGCGTAATTAACGAGCGATAAATCTAAGCGCGCATCTTCGCGGGAAACGCGGCCTGAATTGAAAACCTGCTACTCAATTCGATCTCGGCGTTACGCTCTGCACGAAGACGCATCACCTTGGTCGAACGTAGCCTTAAGAACTGATTAAATCACAGCGGTGTAGCTATTTAATATCTATGCTCGCATTTGCGCGTTATGAAATCATCCTATAGCGCGAACGCGTTGTTCTCGCGTTACGTCTATCGCGATACAAATTTCGCGATATGCGTTTCGTCCTCGTCGTTTCGTTTTAACGAAATCGCCCAAGTTGTCGTTGCAATCGTTCCTTTCTCTTCTCTCTCTCTCTCTCTCTCTCTCTCTCTCTCTCTCTTTCTTTCTCTCGTCTTTTTTCGCAAGTGCACGCGAATTCTCGGATTTCCCTCGGTCGCGCGGAAATCGGGGGATCTTATTTCGGGAATCGATGTATAGGAGAGCGCGGTTGAATAAAATCGCGCGTGCTATTTTTAACGCCGCTTCTTCCAAACGTTTCGTTACATTTCCGCGTTTGACAAGCGGAAGGCGGACTCGGACGAGGGATTTATTTTTCCTCTCGGAGGTCTGCGAGAAATCCCCGAAATGACGGATTCGGAATGCGCGCTTCCAAGATCGATCGCGTCAATAAATACGCTCAATTCGACGCGGTCGGATCCCGCTTCCGGAGGAGGAAAGACGATTCTTTCTGTCTCGCCCAATCGGACACGCCGACCTGACCGATTTAAAGTCGCCCATATCTATTTCGCTCAAGTCCACTGAGAAGATATCGGCGCTGGCGCGTGATCCGAATGATAAGGAGACTAATCGGCCATCATTCCGTTAAGCCGTTGATTAAAGAGAATGAGTACTTGTTTGTGCAACAACACGAAAGAAAACTTTTTCTCCGCGCTCAGTCAAGGTGAACGGCAATTTCATTCAAGGCGAGTGCACGCCGCCAGGTATAGGATAGTCCTCAATTATATGCGTTCGCCGGTATTTTTCTGCGAATTAAAAGAGATGTGCACAGTTCAAGTATACGCGTGTAATCGTCCACGCTCAATTATTATCGCCACGGTATTAAATATCTGCGTCACGACGGACAATTTACAAGCTTCGTCGATGCGTAATTTATTCGTAACATTTCGCACGACCGATCGCCGAGAGAGAGAAAGAGAGAGAGAGAGAGAGAGAGAGGGAGAGAGAGAGAGAGAGAGAGAGAGAGAGAGAGAGAGAGAGAGAGAGAGAGGGAGAGAGAATCGCCTCGGAGAGAATCGAACGTTATTACCTCGCAAAATCACGAGTCGAGATGACGGAAAATGAAAGTCGAATCTCCTCTTGCCGCCTTCCCGTCTGTTTCACCAGTTTTCCTCCTTTTGCAAGACCCAACTTTTGTATTTTAATGAACGAGATGTTGTTGTGCGAGCTTGCCGGAAATTCTGCTGTATCTCTTTCCAGACGGAGAGCGAATACTCTGTGGAGGAACAAACGAGATTAACTGATGGACCAGGCGCTGATGAAGCCTCGCCGGAGGACGAGGGCGGTTCGTTATGCGAATATCACGACATACCGCCCCCGCCGGACGGCGGCTACGGCTGGGTGGTTGTATTCGCATCGTTTATGTGCAACATGATAGTGGATGGTATCGCCTATACCTTCGGTGTCTTTCTGGGGGAATTCGTGAAATACTTCGGCGAAGGAAAGGGCAAGACCGCCTGGGTTGGCTCTTTACTTTCTGGAATGTACCTTAGTGCTGGTAAGAAAGAAGTAAACTGCAGCTGACTATTCGCAGCGATTTTTAGAAGATACAAGATGCGCTATTACGATGTAATACTATTGAGTTTCAATATTGACACGCTCGAGAGTGATTAAATCTGTCTTATCTATTAATCAACCCTCAAGTGCACTTTATCTTAATGAAAAGAAATTGAATTGCGTCTTCATCGGTGAGCTATATTTGTGAGATAAGAAAGGGAGAAAGAGAGTGATGGCGCGTTGGAATAAAATGAATGCTGAATTTTTTTTCAATTAAATACGCCGAAGTGATCATCAAGATAGATCGTTATATTATTAGTTCTGTATTGCGTACTAATTCTCTTTGTATTTTTCTCTCATTAGGTCCAGTCGTCAGTGCTTTAACGAATAAATATGGCTGTAGAGCAGTGTGTATGGCGGGAAGTTTCCTAGGCGCTGCCGCATTTGTACTTTCGACGTTTTCGAGCAGTGTAAATATACTTATGATGACTTACGGCATCATGGGAGGTATGTAATCCATATATAAGAATCGACGGTACTCGTCTTTGCAGCTTTACGGATTCTTTATAAAGTCACTCCGCGTGTTTCTTTCAGGTATCGGATTCGGTTTAATATATCTACCCGCGGTAGTTTGTGTGGGCTATTATTTTGAAACTAAGAGATCTTTAGCTACGGGTATTGCCGTATGTGGATCCGGATTTGGAACGTTTGCGTTCGCTCCACTCGCCACCATGTTGTTAGAAGCGTACAGCTGGAAGGGAGCAAATCTAATCCTGGCTGGCCTTATACTGAATTGTGCAGTAAGTAAACTGTGGAATTTCTCTCTTTCTCACACACACAACTCTCTCTCTCTCTCTCCTTCTCTTTCTCTTTCTCTCTCTCTCTCTGTCTCTTTCTTTTTCGTTATCTATCGCTTTGAGCGCACAAGGGTGACTCTTTAGATCGATATGGCATCGTATATTTGATAATTGTAACAGATGATTTTTAGGTATTCGGTGCGATGATGAGGCCGTTGGAATATCCAAAAGCTTCTTCCGTTAAGCCGTTATTGCAACGAATGGCTGAGGAGAAGAGATTCCAGATGGAACGGGGTAGTATTGGTGGTTCATATTTTATGGTACAATTGCCTGACGGTTCTATGGAGAAGAGGATGAAAATGCCCATAAATATAGATCCTGGTGTTCACTCCAGTTTCAACCTAGACCAATTAGTGCCTGGTAAGGGACTCTTCAGAGAAAAGTATTCGTTCGAACGTGTTCCTGTGATTGTGAGAGTAACCTAAGTCGTCGATACAGGAAAATTAAAATGTTAAGAATTTTTTTTGGTAAGTCTAATTACCTAAGAAGGGACTTATGTCACTGTCATGAATCACGAGTGCGTGCGTGCATTCCTCAAGTATTGAAATGATAAGGTGTACTTCAATGAATACCCGTAATATTAAAGGAACTCCTTTAACACCAGTTCCAACGGTGCCAACCCTCCCCACTATATCTGAAGTGAAGGTACAAGAGCATTCCTCCAGCGGAGCGACTAGCAATAGCGGCAGTATGGATTTGAAAAACATCTCCAATAAATCTAAAAGCAAGAAGAATATCGACGAAACCAAAGACACGAAGGATGCGGAGAAGCCCGAGAATGAGTTCAATAAGCCTGTTATCCCCAGGAACGCGTCGCAGCCTGCTTTTACGACTCACGTGCAAGGTTTGCCTAAAAACGGCTCCGTACCATTCTTCGATAGGATCCGTAAGACGAGTACTGGCGAACGTTACAAGCCTAGCCTTAGTGCAATAAAGAACTCCAGAACGACACTCAATTCCAACGGAGACATCCGCAAAAGTCTGCACCTGAGACTCTCCACGAGCAGTGTGTTAGGGTCACGAAACAATAATGCTGAGGTTGATGTAAGTGTCGCGTTTGTCGACTCGAACATTTTGTCTTTGCGCGAGAGATTGCGATTAATTTCACCGCGACTTGACGTCTCTTCGTTTCAGGATGGTGAGAGTATTACCTTTACTACCAGTAAAACTAGTATCCCAAAGGAAAAACCAATGATGGTCCGTCCCTTGTCGAGAAAGGATATTTTCTACAGCGGTAGCGTAGTGAATTTACCAGAATACCAAAGCCAGAAATCTCTCGCCAATTATCGTCAGAGTGTTATTTCCCTCCCCAAGTCGGTGCGCGGAGATATGAAGGATGTCGATGTTGAGAAAGCGCCGCAACGTAAGTGCATGTCGTTGCTGTATCGTGATTCAGTTTAATCAATCGTGCTATAAAAATGTACCGAAGGAGACAATATGATTTTTTATTTTTCAGAACCTCTGTGTCCTTGCTTGGTATTGCCAGACTCGTTCAAGGAAGCTCTGGCGACGATGATGGATATGTCCTTGCTGAAAGATCCAGTTTTCCTTCTAATCGGTATCAGCAACGTGTTCGGAATGGCTGGGTTGTATGTTCCTTTTGTATATCTGGTGGATGCTGCGAAATTAGATGTAAGTTACCTCTTAATGTTTCCCACTATCAAACAGTCATGCGATTGTCGTACGCTAAAATCGGCGTTTTCTGTCTTCGAAGGGGATCGAAAGCAATTCCGCGTCATTCTTGCTATCCATCATCGGAATAACAAACACGATAGGTCGTGTGGCCTGTGGATACGTCGCGGACTTTCCGCAAGTCGATTCCTTGCTGTTAAATAATATCTGCTTGATTATATCCACGATCGCAGTAGCTGCTACGCCATTTTGCCATAGTTACGCCGCTTACATCATCATGAGCATATTTTTTGGAATAGCAATATGTAAGTGTATCAGTCTTCTATTATTCAGAATTGTTCAATCAGGAGAATTCTCCTCTCCCGATGATTGTCGGATATTAATATTTTCTGATCTTGTGACTTCAGCTGGGTACATCTCGTTGACATCGATTATCCTGGTGGACCTCTTGGGACTCGACAAATTGACGAATGCTTTCGGCCTGTTAATTTTATTCAGAGGGGCTGCCGCAATAGTCGGTTCACCGTTAGCGGGTGCTGTTTACGACGCGACGCAAAGTTACAGTATCCCGTTCTTCATGGCAGGGTTCTTCTTCTTTGTGAGCACTGTTACCAGCTTCATGGCCCCTTTTATGAAACGGTGCACTACACCGGAGGTGCGTCACACAATTCGACATATTACTCGCGTCTACGAGTATTTTCTCAATTTTCTTCTTTTTTTTTTTTACTTTATTCAAATATTTTTTATCTCTTGATAAATTGGCGTCCGTACTCGTTGTTGCAGACTCAACCTGTGATATTAGATACATTGACTCCGATTGACGAAGATATTGAGGAGGAGAACGAGGAAGATATACCGGAGATAGTAGAAACCGCGCCGTCACCCTTAGAGCCACCCGAGAAGGAGATCAAGCAAATAGAGTCTGTTTTATAAGTACTTCTGATCTTTTTTAAACGGACAAACAAAATCGCCTTCACTCCGAGCCACACTGTGATAGGGCTGCTACTTTTTTGAGATGTCTCAAAGGAAAAGGTACTTCTTTGTAACACACTTAAACGACGAAGCACAAATTAGCGACATACCTGATGGGATTTTCACAATTCGTACTTACGGTTTAAGTCGTGTACGTGAAACTGCGCGCATATACGACATCTTCATTTCTTTTTTATCGGACTGTCAAACGACACACACATGTAGACACAGGAAAATGCCATCAGGTATAAATACTTAGTTGCCTACGTGTAATAGCGAGTGATAGATAGAGCGTTCTAATTAACCTAATCAGTATCGATCGAACAGTATAGAGAGAGAAAGGAAAAAAATATTAAAAAAAATTTGCTCTTGCACGTGCATATCGAGTAATCTTGGATAAATTATTAATCTGCATCATATAGAAATATAATATCAATTTGGAACAAGGATTGGTCAATATATGATTGGACGCTCGTCCTTAATCGCCGCGTTCAACAATGCTACACATTGACGATTTATCGGTCACCAAACGCTCTAACGCGCGCATTTCCTTTCTAATTATATCACGGACATAAGTCGCGTACGAAATCTCTACGACGAAAGTCTATGACGATCCTTTTGCAGTCTGATCAACGTACAATGTGATTGACCATCCTTGATCGATCTAGATCCCACCTATGCGACACGTGTTAGTTAAATCTATTTTTGGCCACATCCAAAGATACAACTTGAATTATTCACAATTGAGAGAGATATTTTCTTGCATACTTATGATAATATGTATATAGGCGAGCGTGAGAGGGAGAGAGGGAGAGAGAGAGAGAGAGAGAGAGAGAGAGAGAGAGAGAGAGAGAGAGAGAGAGAGAGAGAGAGAGAGAAAAGTTAGTGAGTATGAGCGAGAGAGAGAGAGAGAGAGAGAGAAAAGTTAGTGAGAATGAGCGAGAGAAAGAATCGTATGTGAATTATTGATTCACGTGCAACTCGTATGTATCGCTGTTGCAGAATGAGAGAATTGTACATAATTTATAGAGAATTATATAAAGCGATAATAACGAAACTCTAGAGCGTTTAAGATTGTAAGCAAAGTTACGAGTTTTCCGCCGTATGTTCCGCCTTTTAGCCGCGGGACCCGGCGACTAATGTATTCATTAAGGGACAATTAACGCATTGTTAGATAGATTAATTAATATATTGACCACACGAAGCAGAGAATATACTTATTTGATTAATATATATGTATAAAAGCGTCTCGTCTGCTACAGCTAGTTTGTTCAAGTTGATTATTGTCGATCTAGTGCGCTGAAGCCGATCGTCCGGCGAAACGGTATAATGAGGAGCACAGAGAACAATTCGGGCTGGCGTGTCCAATCGCGACTACACGCCGAGCACGAGCGGTCGTAAGCGTTTAAGAGTCGTGCGAGTTACACGTAAGGAATTAATTTTATTGGTACGACGGCGGGGATCATTATCGGATCGATATCTGTAATTAGCGTTTGCAAATATATGCCTACAGATATATACACGTACACATACACAAATACACACACACACATGCGCGTGTATAATAAACATATATGACATACGTGTCTCGTGGCGCAATACAACGTATGTAAAACTTTATGTAGACCGAGGAGAAGCTCTTGAGATAAATCTTTTATCGAGGTGGCAAACGCACGCGTTATTACACCGCGTACATTGTATATACATACAAGCATGTATGTATGTATATACATTGTATATACATGTATAAAGATGTTTACCGATGTCATAGTGACTATAGTTTATTACGATCACCGATACACGTGATCAGTGGAAAAGAATAAAGAGAACGAGCAGGAAAGGGATTGTTGATATATATATATATATATATATCGATGATAAAAGAAGTCGACAGTGATATCGATGCAGTGCGCTGTACTACTCTGTCACCACTGCTGCTGTATCGCTATTACCACCTATCATGATTACAATATTACCGTAGTACAATTACGTAAGCACACAACTTACGTTGCGTTTTATGATTGCTCGGTGCAGGGGAGAAACTGCGTTTGCTGCATGTGCGTGTGTGGTATATATGTGTCGTGTGTATGTGCGGTTTCAATCAAACGCGATTGTAGCATACGTATATGCCCACCTGCGTAATAGGGTGCGTGACGCCACGTGCGTGTGCACGCGCGCCGCGATGTGCGACGAATCCTACACAGTTACATATTATTAGATTATATAAAAAACGGCATCGCACGACGCGCGCGTGCTCGCGTGACACGTCGCACGCGCGCATGTTCAATATGTATGTGCGTCGTACGTTTTACGAAGCGAAAACGTGGAACGTCTTGTGTACGTTAGTTGTATAGAGAGGAAGAGAGCGAGCGAGCGAGAGAGAAAGAAACAGAGAGAGAGAGAGAGAGAGAGAGAGAGAGAGAGAGAGAGAGAGAGAGAGAGAGAGAGAGAGAGAGAGAGAGAGAGAAGGAGAAGGAGAAACATGTGTGCGCGCAACGTGCGTGCGTGCGTATTTGCGTGTTCACACGCAGAGAAAATACTGTGGCGGCGCAACGACGAAGCGCCGTTCGTGAGAAGGGATTATTCGCGTTGATTGTGAATGTCGATATTGTGGAATATATCATGATGAAAAATGTTATCCACTTATTAATGAATATGTACTGATAATTCGACGTATCGACCGATCATTTTAGGAAGGATGAAGTCAGAAGTTCCAAGTGCTTGCTTCCTTTTGAGAAACACATTCGCGATAACGCCAAGACGATCAGGAGGCACGCTGTTGTTGCTATTAATTTTTTGTACATAAAAATATATGTATACACGCACGAAAGAGCGAGTAGCGTATGCTGAGGAAATGTTTTCAGCGTAATTGTAGGACAAAAGCCTTTCTAAAATGCGCGACTTGATCGAGATACCGGAATCTATGGGCACGCGCGTTCTCATCGTCGAGATGTGTTCTCATTGTGTCGAGCATCATGCGCTGCAAATATCAACCTGAAACATCACACTGGAGTCGGACGGATGCTGCGAGCTTGACCGCTCGCCGTTTTGTCAATTATAACGACTAAAGTTCTCTTGAAGTCTCGAGATTTTAGAGAGAAAGAGAGAGAGAGAGAGAGTGTGTGTGTGTGTGTGTGTGTGTGTGTGTGTGTGTGTGTGTGTGTGTGTGTGTGTGTGTGTGTGTGAACGAAAAAGAGAGAGAGAGAGAGACAAATCGATAGTAAACAAAGGACATTAGACAAAAAATTAAGTCAACATTTTAAAATGTTGATTTTATACATTTTTTAACGTCTTTATTTAAGAGGATTGGCGATTCTCTCGTCGACCCCACGTGGTGTTTCAGGGTCGCGCGAGAGCGTAGTGCTGTCAGTAGATAGAGCGTTTAGCGAAATATATAATCATGGCTGGATACATTATTATTATATCCGATACCGACACGTTGTTAAAACGCGCAATCGCTAACACGCAATCGCATATTCTCGGGTTGTTCTCGCAGATAAATCTTTCGAAATGCGAAACGCCGCTCCGACCCTCGCTCCCGTTAACACGATGCACATTGCCGCTAACTGCCACACTATTCTCTCCGTGTACGAGCGCGACGAAGCCTCTAGGAACGTCGCACGTCGCACCACGTGCGTCGCGCGAAAAAAAGAAAAAAGAAACATACGACATGATAAAAAAAAAAGGAACAAATGTATTAGGTGAACGTTTATCGAAATTGTGAAAGAGGAATTATGAATTTTTATTACTGAAACACATGCGTTGATTTCTTGCATGGTAACACTTTACCCCACGTAAGTCAATCCGATCGCGGGGATTGTCCACCTTCGATCGTCCACCACTCTCGCCTTCTCTCGTCGACCTGGCGACGCCCGACATGTAAATATTCGAGTTACCACATCGCCATGTAAATAGCAGGTCGGAAATGGAGTGTCAGCAATAAATTATTGTATCTATTCATGCCAGCGATGTTGCATTGTTGTGATACGTGCCGCCATCGCGAAACACCGCTCCGCGTCGCTTTCGTGCCTCGCGCGAATCGTTCCTCCTTGTCGCCGCGGTCACGTGGGATCGCGACGTCAGAAGCGCGGGTTTAGTTCTGCGACGCGGATAAATCGGTATCAGGCTCGTGGAGGAACGGGCGACGCGACGCGCCGGTGACTCTCTCCCAGTCTCTCTCTCTCGGACGAATTCGGCCGCGGCGCGAATTGCGAAATCCGCCCGCGACTGGAAACGCGGTTCCTCCCGGTTTTCGCCTCGGGGCGTCCCCGCTTGGACGGGAGGGAGAACGGTCGTCTCCCTCGGTCTCACTGCTTCTCTGTCAGTCCGTTCACGTATCCGCGCACAGACTTGCTAATTATGCAATTATATCGATAATTTAATCCCGACTTGTCCACGAGTCACCGCGCGCGCGCTCGCTATTTCGAGCGAGCCAGGCGCCAAGCGCGAAGGAGGCGAATTACCGCCTCCACGACGAGGAAATCGCGCTGGCCGCAAACCGGAATGTTCGAGCCCGACCAGGAAATGTCCCGGGCCACGCGCTGCGGGATCCGCGCCGCACGTGCGGCAACGGCCACCGCCGGAGGACGATCCGCGCGCGCGGCGAATCCCGCGATCCTCGTCCTTGCCTCTTCGCCTTTTCCTCCTTCTCACCTGGTGACTGAGTGGACCCGCGGAGCGAAAGCGCGTTCCTCGCGCCGGTGGCCGCCGAGCACCGAGAGCAAAACGCACCTCGCACTTTCGTTCAAGCGCTACCGCGCCCGCACTCGCGCGGACAAGCGGAACGCAGGAGGGGGGTCGACGTCGACGAGGAAATCGCACGTTCACGGCGCGGTCCGTTGGTCGAGGAACGCCTCCGCTTCGCGCGCGAGTCGTCGTCGAGCGGTTAGCCAACGGCTCGACAGACAGGGAGAGATTATTTCCCGGGCGCCGGCTCTCCGAGTCGCTGCGAAACGCGCGCGCGCGCGCGCGAGATCCTTTCGCTCTGTTTTCAAGCCGCGTCTCATCTGGTCCGCTCGTTTGTTCGTCGCTCAGCCGGTCGGGGGATTCACCCAGCCGGAGGATATCGCGAGCCTCGAGACACGGTGAACGTGTCCGGAGAACGTGACGTCGCGTCGCCGTCGGCTACTGCAACGCGCGGGCGCGCATGGTCGAAATTTCGCGCGTCCGCAACAATCGAAGTTCAAACGCGCGTTCGATCGAGAGCGCACGCGCGCGCGTACGCTCGGTAGCTACTCGCGCATGAACGGCGGCGAGCGCGCGATTCTCACCGAGCGTATCTTTTCGAGTGTCCGGATAAGGAGCCCGGGCGAAAAAACGAACGGCGAACTTCCGTGGAAATCGCACATCGGAGCTGGCACTCGCGCGTCATTGTCACCGCGAGGAGAGACGTCCTGCCGCGGCGATAACGCGGCAGCGCGATTCGTCCGAGCGATTCCGCGGCCGACCCGCGCACTCGCCCGAACGCGGAGCGGCTGTTCACAGGACGGAGAAGAGGAAGGAGACGCTGCGGAGTCGAGAAGACGTCGTCGTCGAGAAGAGCCACGCGTCGTGTCCGGGCTGTCGGCCGAGCTGTTGTAGCTGCGGCGAGCTGCGCGAAGTCGTCTGACGGAACGAGCGGTAAGTGAGAGTGATCGCGTGACTGTTGCAGAGTCGCGATCACGGTGTAACGTATGCGCGCTGTGGGAGTAATTAATTCGCTGCTCGCCGCGACTGAAATCACTCGCGGTGTACGATTCATGTTTTATTCATGCCGCCGCGGAGAAGTCGGCCCTGGCCCTGGCGTGGGCGGTTTTTCCCTTTTAGAAAGGCGCGCGCACGTTTTTCGCGATCGCTCGTCGCGCGAGATTAGAGACGAGCTGGCCGACGACGCGGTCGCCCCGGGGTTGCCTCGTTCTCTCGCATTCCTTGCGCTGTGTCCTGCGCGTTACCGAGGATACCGAGATCCTCACCTCCCGCTCTCCTTCGTCCTCGAGACCACGCGGAGTCGAATGTCCTCGAATGACGCGAGCGTAATCTCTCGCGAGATCGAATCTAAACGCGAGGTGCTCAGATGCGGTCGCGCGTTCCGCGCGCCAGGCGGCTGAAGCGTGCAAGGAGGAACTTTCCTCATTTCTTTTGCAACGCGTGAGAATTCTATATTTTCCGTTGGAAGTCGCTTCCTCGAGCTTCACTAACGCGGGGAATGTCGAGTTACAAAGAGATTTCAACCGGAATTATAATAAATTAGTCTGACTCACTGTTTGTTTACTGCGAGGAGAGGAGACAAGAAACATGCCGCGGAATAGTCATATATCCTTCGGACTTGAACGATACTCGAACGAAGTATCATCGCTTTAATGAGAAAAACGCGTGCTTAAAGGCGTCGAGCTTAAGATCCGCTCTACAATGTCTATGGGAAGTTTCCGATCTTCCGCTGTAAGTTCCAAAGAGTATGCGTCTTCCCCGTTGCCGAAAGCCGCAGCGACGCTTCAGGCTGAGGCTTCGCTGCGCTCTGGTGGCGCGGGAAAACGCCTTTCGCCGGAGTGGAATGAAGTGGCAGTCCGGAGCTTGGAGCAAAAGGAGCCGAAGGACTTATTGTGGCTCCGAGCCTGAAGCGCCGCTGAAAATCGCAGCGCGCTTTTGCGCAGCCACGCGTGATATCCTCGCGCGTAATATCCGCACGCGCGTAGGCACGTAGTTGTGTTAACGACTCTCCTCCTCTCTTTCTCCCGCTTTCATGGCGAGGAGCTCGCCAACGCGGTCCCCGGGTCTCCCACGATGGGGAACCGCGCGAAGATTCAGCATCCCCGTTGAGATCGCGAGCTCGAGATCGAGAGATCGCCGAGATCTTTTCACCGTCGTCGTCGCCGTCGCGCTACATCGTTACGTCACGTTCACAGCGCTGCGCCGCGCTGCGCCGCGCTCGGAAACGTCGAAAACGAGTTGCGTTCGGCGGCGATAGTGCCGGCAATCTCCCGTGCGTACAATCTCCCGCTCTGGAACGGGTTATCGAACGGTCGCCTCCGGAATCCCTTATCGTCGATCGACGGCACTCGCGTCGCGCCGTGCCAAACCCGTCGCCGTGCCTCTGGATTTCGAGGGTTGCCACGAGGGGTTGCCTCGAACGAGGCAACGATAATCGATTGCCGTTCGAAAGAACTCCCGCGCAAGCTCCTCGGTTCGCCCAACACGCTCGCGGCCAGAGTTCATCCCACACGACCTTCCCACGAGCCACTTTGTATCTTTCTTTCATGTGATGCAACAGACTTGTGGTTTACTTACATATGGACAAAGAAAAGGGAAGGAGGAAGGATGGTCTGTCACACACGTGTGACACGTTGTGTTGACAACGAGCGTGTTAATGCGAACTTCTCGCAGGAGGAACTTTTTTACTCTGCAATGCGTGAGAGTTCTGTATTTTCCGCAGAAGTCGCTGCCTCGAATTTCATGAACGCAGAAAATGCTGCAGGGAGGAAGGTCGACGAATTAGTTAGGGAGATCTGAGCCGGAATTGTAATAAATTAATCCGACTCACCTTTTATTTAAAGGAGACAAAAGACATGCCGCGGAATATTAGTCACGTCCGTCGCATCTAAACGACACAATAAGTGTTATCACTTTAATGACGAATCGAAGTCTTATTCACACGAGTGGCGGTCCGCCGTATTGAGTGCCGAGCGCAACGTTCGGATTTCTGAAAGCACGCGCGTTCGGCAAGCGTTAAGGTTAAATTTTGCATAATCGGAAAGCATATACGCGTATATATGCGTGCGTGTATTTATATACACGCGAGTCGCATGTCGCAGCGGATCGCGGCGCGTTACGTTTTAGTTATGCACAGTGCACTTGATCGAATTCGAGGGGCGTGTTTGCGAGCCACAGGTAAACGCACAGCCGACGCACGCACGTATTTGCACACGTGTGTGCGTGCGTGCTGGCGCGCGCGCGCGCGCACGCGCGCATAGAATGGAAAACCTGAAACATAAAACGTAAACTTGGAACTTGACACTGAACCGCGAGAAATGGCGGGCTTTCTGATGAAAACGCATGATTAGCGCGCGGGGAAAAAGTGCTCAAATCGTCAACATCGTCCGAGGTATCATCGCGTAATCTCGAGCTCGCGTCGTGCGAACGCGACAAAAGAGCCGGGCCTCGTCTGCGAGAAGTGTGCGCTGTCGAGTTTTACACGTGTCGATAAATAAACGATACTTCGGCCCGTTAGTTCGGATCGTTACTTGTTTATGTTTTCCACAGCCCTGATAGAAAGTCAACGAAAACCAGTACCGTTGCCTCGCGCCGTCGCACGGCCGCGACGTAACCGATTCTAATTAAGATTCACAGCGCATAGCATTCGCGTAATCAGCGATATCAGCGACATCGATGGCGTGTCAATAGCGGCTCATTAAACCTTATCGCGCCTTTTTTCATCGCGTGCGTGGATTCTAATTTGGTGTTTAACGATTCGATACAGCCGCAAAAATCTGTGGCGAGCGACGAGAGAAAGAGAGAGAGAGGGGGAGAGAGAGAGAGAGAGAGAGAGAGAGAGAGAGAGAACAGAAGTAGGACGTTCTACAGCTGCTTAAAGACACACACCGGTCTGTCATGATTTCTATTGATTCTCTAATTATCAATCTCTCGAATCTGCGGGCTCGATCAGCCGTGAAACTTGGTCGAAAAATACGCCTGCAAAACTTGAACGCGGTCTCTTTCACATATTATCCGTATTATATAATTAGAATCAATTTTATACTCCTCAGAGAGAGAAGCAGTTAATGTTGCTGAAGTAAAATAAAATTAGCAAAAAGTCATATGAAGTATGTGTGTGTATGTGTATTCAGTGCGGAGCTCATCTCTGCTTTCTCGAGTTTATTTTTAGGTCGGCTCGAGATAACGCAATTAATAAAAGAATGCCAATAAAGTGGATAATGAATTCCAAAAGTGGTGATAACACAAAGGCAACCGTCGAAAACGTCACGTTTGATAAGCATTAACACGATCGCGCTATCTTTCTCGTATTTCTCATATACATATTCAGATTTCGTTTAAATGCGTGCTGCTTTGTAAATGCGTTGCTCGTAGCAAGAAACATGATCGGAGATTTCTCTATTATATGGCGCATTTTTAAGCTTCCAAATTCAGCCGTAAACGTACAGCAACGCTTCTCGAAATTTTCCTGAACGGAGCAAACACCCGCTCGGCGAGTACAAGCTGCAGGACTTTCGTATCATTCTTCTGTATCATGCAAATATTTACGCTGAGACAGCTCGAGATATTAATTTTGAAATTTTTTATCGCTTTCGTCATATATTGAGCAATTTATTTTTGCACATACTTCCATTGTGTAAGAGCGGTTGCAAGCGATCCTGTGCAATCAACACGACGTAAACTTTGCAGAAGAGGGTTGTCGGTATTCAGACGTTAAAATTCCCAAGTATGGCATACGCTTAACGATCGTTTCAATCTTTTCCCGCAGTTATCATGATCGTGAAAGGTGTCTCGGCACTCGCGCTCGCGATCTCGTGGGTGAACTCACGATCACTGAGATTCGGGACCGAGATCAGTCGTGCAAAACCGTCGCCGTAAATGGCGATTTATTTTCGCGCAAATGGCGACCGCGTCGGCGCCGAATTGCCGCAGCTCCGAAAACTTTCTACGACTGTTGCATCATTCGAACGTTATCGCGGCGACGATGACGATGACGATCACGACGTGGATACAAATCGAGGACGCCAGTCTAGCTCCAGTTGGCGAGCTTCGGCTCTTTCTCCGTGAGATACAGTTATCCATTGACACGCAGCTTTCGCGCGGCTCCGGCGCGATTGCATCACCGACGAGGTTTCCGAATGTTCGCGCTTTTCCAGCCCCGACCGCTCTCCGGGTGTTCCCCGACGACGCGCGTTTCCTCGTGCGAGGGTGCGACGACGATCGAACTATTAAGTCCAATTACGAACGATTAAGCGCTTTTAATCCGACAGAACGCCGCCTTCGTTTCGATCGACGCCGTCGTAAGCTGCGACTCGCTAGCGGCTGCGAATTTCGCAAAACTCATCTTCTCTTAATCGCGCAAAACGTCGCAACGAGAGAAAGAATCTCGCGACGTCGCAACTTCGTGGCATCGCGAAATCTACGACATCCGCGTCCACCCTCGATCGGCCCTCCGAGTCGGCTGATCTCGCCGTTCAACAGCGCAATTCCCTGCGGCTCATACGGTCGAGTGTTCCCGAAGAAGATCATCGCAGCGAGGCGCGTTTCGCGCAGCGACGCGCGCACGATCGCGTAAAAAGAAATCCCACGAACATCTGTGACGAAGTCACTCGTGGTCGCAACTCCTCCTCCCAACGGGCCAATCTAGCATTCGGTCCTTATCGCTGACCGACGGGAATTCTCCCCATCTGCCTCTTTCTCCCATTTCCTCTTGCTCTTGCTGCCTCTCCCCCCCTCTCCCCCTTTCTCTCTCTCTCTCTCTCTCTCTCACTCACTCGAGCACAACGTATAACACGTATATACAACGTCACCACAGCGCGCCGCCTCGAAGCAAGACCGGAGCAAGACAACGACGACGACGACGACGACGACGGCGACGACGACGGCGGCGGCGGCGGCGACGGCACTCGACGAACAGGGTCCTCCGCTCGAGC